TATAAAAAATAAATATAGTGATAAATGTACACAGTCACGTATACCATCATACAACGTGGAGCTCAAAATGTTGACTAGAACACCAGATTTATTAGATATGTTAAATGAAGTAAGATAAAAAAATTTAATGAATTCATGATATTGCGCAATATATATATATGATATATAACTTTATGTTAATTTTTAAATATTAATAAGTTCATAGATTATGCACAGTTAAAGAATAATGAGTTTAAAGTATATGGACTAACTCAGAGTACAATAACAAATGAATATATGTTGGTATTTGATGAATTTGGTTCTAAAAGAGATGATTTGAATGGAAAATGTGCAAATTGCAAACGATATAACACATCTCTTGCTTGGTGTCAAACATGTGACCCTCAGAAAACAACACAAGGATGGACAAGTGGAAATAAGGATATCGATGATTGCATTAAGGAATTTCAACTTGAAGCTACAGAATATGAAAATGTAATCGAATGGATTCCTTTTGATAGATTAAAGAATATTCAAAATATTGGTGATAGATTTTTAGCAACCTGGTTAGATGGAATACGATATCTACACAAAAAATATGATTATAATAAACGTATATATGAATATACACAGTCACGTATACCAAAATATAAAGTGGAGCTTAAAATATTGGGCAGAACACAAAATACACAAAATATTTTAAAAGAAGTGAGCTCTTATTATTTTATTATTTGTAATTAATAGTATATATTTCTACTTATTATTTATACTTATTATTTATGTTTATATTGTTTATTTTATAAGTTTAAAAACCATATGCAATTAGAAGATAAATGTGTCTATGGATTAACTCAAAGCACTGCAACAAATGAATATATGTTAGTATTTGATTATAAAAAAAGTTATGAATATGGAAAATGTGCAAATTGCAAACGATATAACACATCTCGTGCTTGGTGTCAAACATGTGACCCTTGGAAGGCAACACAGGGATGGACAAGTGGAAATAAGGATATCGATGATTGCATTAAGGAATTTCAACTTGAAGCTATAAATTATGAAGATGTAATCGAATGGATTCCTTTTAATAGATTAGTTAATGTTCAAAATATTGGTAATAAAGTTTTAGCAACCTGGTTAGATGGAATACGATATATAAATAAATATGAATTTACACAGTCACGTATAGAATCATATAAAGTGGAACTTAAAATATTAACTAGAACACAAAGTTTATCAGATATTACAGGAAGTAAGTTAAATATTTCATTGGGGTCCGTTCCACCGACGATCTAAACATCACGTAACGTGTCAATTTACAATTTATATATGTTAACATTCTAAATTGTCACCAAAGTGATGTGAAATGACCGTCGTTGTTACACAATATATATAGGTTTATCTTAATGTAATGCATATTTTACATGCTTAATAAGTTTGTAGGTTATGTACAGTTAAACAATAATGTTCTTAAAGTATTTGGACTAACTCAAAACACAACCACAAAGGAATATATGTTAGTATTTGATGAATTTAATTATAAGAGGGATAAAGATAATGGAAAATGTGCAAATTGCAACCGAGATAACACATCTAAGGCTTGGTGTCAAACATGCGACCCTCAGAAGACAAGTCAAGGATGGACAAGTAGAAATAAAAATGTCGATGACTGCATTAAGGAATTTCAACTTAAAGCTACAGAATATGAAACTGTAATCGAATGGATACCTTTTAATAGATTAAAGAATCTTCAAAATATTGGTAAAGGGGGATTTGGCTCTGTATTTTCTGCAACGTGGCTAGATGGTAAAAGAATAATTTCAGATATCTATTCTGATAAATGCACACAATCACGTACACCATCATGTGTAGTTGCACTTAAAACTTTACCTGGCTTACGAAAGAATTTCTTAAGAGAAGTAAGTTGAAATGTTTTATTTATGATCTAATACGTATAGACAAATTATCGATAAACTATTAACTTTATAAATTTTAATAAGTTTAAAAATTATATGGAATTTAGATTAGTGGGTAGTAATCTTGAAGTATATGGACTAACTCAAAATACAACTAACGATGAATATTTAATAGTATTTCAATATGCAAATAGGGGAAGTCTTCATAAATTTTTATCTTTAAATTTTAGAGATCTTAATTGGAAAAGTAAATTAAAGCAACTTGTTGATATATCTGAAAATTTGAAAAAAGTACACAAAGCAGAATATGTTCATGGTGATTTTCATAGCGGTAATATATTGCAAAATCAATATATTAATGGAAATTTAATATCTTATATTGCAGATCTAGGATTATCTCGAAAAAAAGATGATTCAGATTTAGAAGGTTGTATTTACGGCGTTTTACCTTATGTTGCGCCAGAAGTGTTAAATAAACATCCATATACAACAACTGCCGACATTTACAGTTTTGGTATTATTATGGCTGAGATGTCCACGGGAAGACCTCCTCATTATGATATTGAGTATGATGAAATATTAGCTATTCAAATATGTAATGGATTACGTCCCGAATTTGCTAAAGGCACTCCTGAGTGCTATACTCAATTAGCAAATCAATGTATGGATGCCAATTCTCTTAATAGACCAACTGCAGAAGATATCCATAATAAATTATCTAGATGGTATAATATAGTATATAATAATGCTGCTTACGATAATAATGGATTAGCAATATTAAAAGCATTTCAGTCTGCAGATGCAATTATTCCAACATTATCAATAGAATTGCCAATTTGCCCTAAAGATAAACTTACAAGTAAACCGCTTAACTTTAAAAACCTTTCAAAAATTTATGGTGAATAATTACATTTATTATATCTTGTCTTTAATTAATCTATAAAAATTTTAACTACTTTTTAATTTTTAGGTTCTAGAGATTGTGAAGTTTCGATTCCTGATGATCATTATAATTCTTCCACCGCATCACCGTCAAAAAAAGTTCGAATGTGATTTCGTTGATTAAGATTGACTAACTTTTCAGAAACCAGCAAATAATACAGAGAGTCTCGTATGCGTAGTAATATGGTAATATGGAGCTACGCTGTAGTATGTAATAGTTTGGATAAATATTATAAATATGATTTGGTCGTATGCTCGAAAGAGGAATAATGTATTTATATGTCAAATATATGTTTATTTATTCAATAAAAGAAAATGCCGAAGATAACCACGTAGCGAATCGAAAAATGCCCATTATATACTTAATCTGCTAATAAGCCCACTCTAATATTATATCCTCTAAGACTAGTACTCATGCATTATCTATCGCTAATATTATACATGGGTGTCTAAATTACGGATGATTTACGGCTGATGTTATAGCAAAATATTTTCTTCATGATACTTCAAAGTAGTGTTCCAAATCGTTAGTTGAAAAATCAACTAGTTGCCAACTTTCCAACTAGTCGATTTGAAAAAATTTTATGCAACTAATCGATTAATAATTCAACTAGTACAATTCCGAAAAATTCCGTCTAGTCGGGCAGATCCGAATTAATTCCTTTGGTTTGATTGGCTAATCATCTGATGATGCCACGTGATGTGAACAATCGATTGGTTGCAACTATAGTTGGCAACTAATCGATTGGTAAAATATTTACCAACTCGGAACACTACTTCAAAGTAATGCCGAAATTATTATTTTAAGTACTGCTACATTAATATTAATTAATCATAACTTTATTCTTGATATGTTATAACAAGGACTAATATTTCCATATCCTTCTTCTGATAGTTAGGGTTCGGAGTGGGCCGGGCCGTGCCCAGAAATTTATTGGTTGGACCGGGTACGCTCCGGGTCAAAAAATATTATGCCGGGTTTGAACCGGGCTTAAAAAATAGTGGGCCGGCACGGACCGTGTATGGGCCAGCAGGGTCGGGCCATGACTTTTTTTTATTGGGTTAGATCGGGCCGGGTTTTAGAGTTAAGCCCGGCCCGGCCCATACTCTAAATTTTTTGTTGGGCTAGATCTGGGCCGGGCTCTGGTCTAGCCCGACTCGACCCGGCCCATTCCGAACCCTATTGATAGTGCCACACCTGTAATACGTATAAATCATTTTACAATTTAAAGATATTTTGACATCATTAATAAATTTTTTGTTTATTTGAGTTCTATTAAGATTTTTATTAAATTTAGTTAAATAAATGTTGAAATAATTCTAAAATTCTAAAATAATTAAACTAGCTTTTATTTGATAGATATTTTGAAATTTGCTTTTTTTTGTATTAAGAAAAGTTTGTCTTTTTTTTTTTTAAATGTTAAGGTGAGAAGAAAAGTTTGTCTTGTATTTATTTATTAACAATTTTAGTATGATTTTATAAGAAATTTTCTGATTACGTTATTTTTTTATATTTGAGATTCAGATTAACTAATTTCTATATTAGTAATTGTCTGGAGCGAAACGGAGGGCTTGATTTCTATGCACGTTTAATATATCCTATTTTAAAATAAGTCGAGAGTAATTTTCGAAAAGAGAGAAAATGACAATCGATCGCATTTATTTGATATGTTAAACATATGTGAAGATTTCTTAAATGATGGCAATCATATGTGTCGTAAGCATATTGTGAATGCTATATAATATATAAGAGAACAGAAATTTTTAAGATAATAATAGTATTCTCATAAGCAATGTTGGGAAATGCCAGTCATTTGACTCTAAATGATCAAATGACCGAATATATGGGCTGTGATCTGAGAAAAGGGACCAAATTGACAATTTTTTCAAAAAATTTTTTTGAACTTAACTAATCTAAAATTAGTCTAAGAACATTTTTTATTTATGAAACAAATTCAGTTAACTTAATAAAATTTTATAGTATAGCTCTTTAAAGTTTATACTTTCTTATAATTTATTAAATTTTCTGCAAACTTTTTTTTTATTTAGTCTTTTTTGCCAGAACACAGCCCATCTGTATTAAACAAAAATTATTTTCATTCCCCATGCTATTGACACATTATATACATAATTATATAACTAACAACTAATCTTAACTATGATCTACACGGTATTTACTATTAAAGGCATGAAATTATGGGCACGAAAATAATTTTCGGTATTAAAATCGATGGTATCACTGATAGACTGACCGACCATATGCTAGCCATAAGACACAAGTAAATATGCATAGAATTTTTATTAGGTCATTTAGTCATTTCAAGCGTAAATAACCACTGACCAATTTAGTTGCTCATTTGAAATGCCAACACTACTCATAAGTATATAGTAAATAACTACATAACTAGGGTGAATGGCACGGAGATCATTGGAATGCTAGGGTGGCATGCCCAATTCCCAGATTGCCTATAGGCATGCCATTTATATATATTCCGAAAGGTTCTGAATAGAAAATAAAATAATCTAAATTCCGAAAGGAAAATTGGAGCAATGCTCCGAAGTATTCCGAAAGGTTATTTAATCCCAATTGAGTATATTATCGCGTGGTTTAATGGCATGCCAGGGTGGCATCCTGGCACGAACTTTAGCAGTTGGCATGCCATATAGCACGCAAGATTTTTTAGCCGTGCCACTTACCCTACATATGGCACGCAAGATTTTTTAGCCGTGCCACTTACCCTATATATAACATTATCACTCCAGACCAGAAGTTGATAAATAAAACTAATCATAATATAATTGTGATACGAAGTAGCAATTTCAGAAAGGTTTCCTAAGATGAATAAAGATTTTGCAATAGGATAAAACCCGCGTCAGAGATAGTTATGTTATTGATACATACCACTACCTAATCATAATTAATTGTAAATCTGCATCAAAAAAAGGCAACCTAAAAAAATGTGAATTTCACTCTTTTCATATCCACGCTGTAATAAAACTCATCTCAGGTTCACCCTGTCTTGATTTTTTCTACTAAACGATATCTTTGAATATTAGGCGAAATTAGACCTCAGATATAACAAACATGCTTTGAAAATATGTATCTGTTCTTCATTCACTAACAATATAAAATATTTAGATGTAAGTCCAGTTCATCGAGATACTGTTGGGTATAAGGACTACTATACAGAATTAATAGATTAAAAAAAAATGATTATAATGTGTGATTAATTAAATAAAATCAGACATTAACTTATTTACCTCCTATTTTATTCCAATCAGACTAGAGGTGCAGGCGAATCGTCTCAATGATTGCTGTAACTTTGCTGTAACGTGCCATAACTATCTCTGTAACTATAAATAATTATAATAAGTTACGGCATGTTTGCCGTAACTTATTATAATTATTTTATAGTTACAGAGATAGTTACAGCACGTTACGGCAAAGTCACAGCAATCATTAGGACGATTCCCTGTACCAAAATCAGACAATAACATCTCCGATGTATATCTAATTCTCCTTTTCTATAAACAATTTTTGACTAATATTTTGATAGGAACAATACAAAACTAGCAATAAATATATGTCGAGTGATTTAATGACTAATCAAATCTTTTACACAAGAAAAAAACATTATAATAATAACCGTCAATTCCCGTGTTTATATACTTCTGCACATTGTATAATGAGTTTCAATGGATTTTCATCCTTGAACTTTTGTTTTCAGTAAGCGTTTCGTTCCTGAACTATCTGTTTAAACAATGCTCTGCTCTGAAATGCTGCTATATTCTGTGATCGAAATAGGTTTTGTTGAACTTCAAATCAATCCCAATAATATGATGATGTTTATGACATGACAAAGTTGGTATGTTCCAATAAGGTAAAAGGTCTATTAATGGTTCGCTATTGAACGCGTGAATTTGAGAAAAACCTTAAGCGAGTTTGTAGAATTTGTTATAGTACAATCTATTTAAAAAGGTACAAGAATTATTTATAAATTTGAATTTATAATAAATTTCAACACTAATAAATATAACTTATAAAAAGAACATTCATTATAACAAGATCAGTAGGTGATGGTTCGACCTCAGATCTTGACAAATACACAGGTCAATGCTGGAAGAGGATGAAACAACCTTATATAAAAAAATATATATATACGGAAATATTAGTAATAGTCTTAAAAATAACTATCAAAAATTATATATTTATGTTTCATAAGTAAAAGAACCAAATAAAAAGTGGTGTCTGACAGGAAAAAATTATTAGACCCATCTCGGCAACTAATAAGATTCCTCTATTCAAAACCCAAAGCCAAAATAACTTAAGATTGCTCCTAAGATAACATAGCTTTGAGCTTTGTTTGTATATAGTTCTTTTACAAGCCGGCATTTAATATAATCATAAAGAAAATGTAATAAAAAAATACAAGATAATATAATAACAACCTTATATTTGTACGTTAAAATGTTAAAAATGTTAAACAACTCTTAAAAATCTGATAATAAAAATTACGTCACGAGATCCAAACCGATTATCATTAGATCTAAAAAACCAATACACAACGCGACTAGTGTTTGTAGTTGATTGTTATTTATCGACTTGACTAAGTCGATATTTAAAAAAATCGACTAAGGGTGCTCTCAAGCATCTCTCTCAGTGTAATTAGCCAATTATAGAGATCGTGCACAAGTACTACGATCAATTGAAGTAAACCTTACGGTAATTTTGTCGAAGATTCATGTTGCAATTTAGCCAATCAGCACAACTAATAAAAAAGGATGGTCTCTGACCATTTTTTTTTCATCGTAATAATGAACTCGCTTGACCGAATAATTTATTTTTCACTAATTAAAAATTGAACTCAGACCTATTGATTTAGATGCTTGAGAGCACCCTAAATCGATTATAGCTTAGTCGATGAATTTGATTGAATAATTATAATCACATGATAATTTAATACTGACCATCAAGCACAGTCTTTTAATTATCTAAAATATAGTACTGTAATTCTGTATAAAGATAAAATAGTTCAAAATTTGTATATGCTAATAGAGCCTAATTAATTGAAGACCGTTGAAATATATATATATCTTTTATAGCTCAAAATATTATATCAGGATTATTTTAGTATCTGAAATAAATAATTTCAACCTACAGTATAATAATGCTCTTTATTATTTTTGAATCATGCACTGTATAGTATAGTAGCCATATGAAAGATTATTGGCTAATAATCACGTGTATACAGACTAATATTATAGTCGACTAAGGTTGTTTTCAAGCATCTCCTTCTATGATCAATAAAGTGATCCAATTGGCTGAAAAAATAAATCGTGTTTAATCATTTTGGTCAATAAAACCTGGAGCTAACAACCATCTTTTTTTCCCATAGAGTTACTCCGATTGGCTAAAATTTAAAATCCATATTTCACACAATAAATTTTTGGCAAAATTGTTAAAGAGATCACTTCAATTAATTTCGATTAATCGAAATGATTGATCAGCATCTCGATCACTTGCAAATTACATCGAGGGAGCTGCTTGAGAACAACCTAAGTCAATTTTTTGAAAATCGACTGACTAAGTTGACTAAGATCAAAATTGACTATAAATACTGGGTAGATTAGTGGATCCACCAAAATTCAGCAAATTGGCCCGAATTTAGGGTTAAGAATAGGCCAGAGCCAGGTGGTTTTAAGCAATAATACCGGCCAACTATATTATAGCAAAATTATCATTTGGACAACTTTACTTAATGTATAGGCTGCTACTTTATTAGTAAAATTTTGTGTGGTTTTAGCAAAAATTTATCAATTCCAGTCTATTTTGACCTAAATTTAGGCAATTTGCTGAATTTTGGTGAAACCACTAATCTATTTATAAACATTAGACATGACTATCAAAAGTGCAGGTCTTATGATTAGAGATGTTAAAAGTCTGGTCTGGTCCGGTCTGACTCTATGAGTTGAGTTTTAATCTAGACTCGGTCCTGAGTCAGACTTGGGACCGAGTCCCATTAATCTCATAGTAATAATCACATGCAAGTCATAGGATCATATATATATTTTATCTATTTGCATAGTACATTATTGGATATCTAATTACAAACATAGTGCAATTGATTTTTTTTATAATTAGCAGTGGCGTAGTGATAGTGTAAATACGTAGTAAAAAAATATAAAATTTAAATTGCAATAAATCTTGAACAAGCAAACTCACACAAATAAAATTATATTTGTCGGGTTCATTTTAGCGTACTCTTTAAAGTAACAACACCTTTTTTTATTTATTTTTATTGATTAAAGCATAGCGGAGGACTCAGTTTTTATACAACATTGTCATTTTTGATTATTTTTAATAAAAATATCAAAAACATAACTTTAGATCTATTGTTGATCACTATTGCATAATACAATATGAGAAGACATTTTTGATGCTTTTATTAAAAAAATATCAAAAACAACAATTTTAAATGAAAACTGAGTCCTCTGCTATGCTTCAATCAATAAAAATAAATAAAAAAAAGGCGGTGTTACTTTAAAGAGTACACTAAAATGAACCCGACAAATATAATTTTATTTGTATAAGTTTGCTTGTTCAAGAGTTATTGCAATTTAAATTTTATATGTTTTTACTATCTATGCTACCACTACACCATAAAAAAATCGATTAATAATTTTTACTATATATATCACCTGCACTATGTTTGTAAATTAATATACATTAGACATTATGTACCTATATGATCCTATGACTTGCATGGGATTATTACTATGAGATTAATGGGACTTGGTCCCAAGTTTAACTTAGGACCGAGTCTAGATTAAAACTCGACTCATGGAGTCAGACCGGACCAGACCAGACTTTTAACATCCCTATTTATGATTATTAAGTAATAATCGTGATCGTGATCTGCATATCATCATGTGATCCACAATTTCGATAACTCTGGATAAATCAGGTATATAGTAAAGGCAAAACTGAAATGTGTAACAGGTTAGTGGCAAACTACCAATCAGATTTCAGGATCAAATATAACATTACATGATCAGAAAAACTTCAAAACAAATGTTTGTTTGCCAAAAATCAAAAAATCTGTATAAAAAACAATCTTTTGTACTTTAATAAAAAGTTTTTTTTGAATGATTTTACTATAATTCTTGCTAATATCTAATCTTAATACAACGTTAACCTAAATATCAATGAATTTTAAAGAATTATATACATTTTGGATGTGTGATTGACAACATGCTTAATCTGTCACACATTTTGGTTTTGCATAATAAAGTAGTACATATAGTATGAAAACATAAATTAGGATGGACATGTAGAAATTATAATAATATATATATTTGCAAAAAAAAAAGTTGTAAAA